GCACCTGGAGGGGGCCATGGGATGCCCCTCCCTCAAGAACTGGGAAAGACGGTACATAAGACGGCTCTGAGCCTTAAACTGGCAAAAGCACACAGTAGGTGTTGATGAACCGGAGACTCAAGGGGGGGGGGGGGAGGGGGCGCAAGGAAAAATGGGACAGAAGCTTTTGGGACACTGGCTCTGGCCAAGGAGGGGACCTGGTGGCCATGTGGGTGGGCAAGGGGAGTGGTTGCACATCACTCAGCAGGAAGTCAGCATGTTCCTTAGGCTGCAGGTGAGGCTGTGGGAGCAGGAGGGGTGGGAGCGTGGGCCCTGGAGCACGGACCAGGATGTGCACAGAGCCTGAGTGGCGGGTGTCAGTCTGACGGCTGTCAGGGGAGCAGGACCCTGGATCGGGGTGGGGGAGAAGGCCCCAGAGATGGATGCGGTGGAACGGTGGCCAGGCCCTTCACAGCTGGTGAAAGGGTCCACTTCCTTGGACTCTGGACTCCACAAGCCCAGCAACCGTGTGTGGCGAATTCAGCGCCCTCTGTTAGAGTCCCGGACAGGTGTCCTGCCTGGGGGCACGCATCACAGGATGGGAGGGACGCTCGTGCTGGGTAAGGGAGTGGATGGCGGTGTGACGGGGTTGCGAGCCTCCTGATCATGGCGGCACTTCCTGGCAAGGCGCAGGCTGAGGGGGGTCTCGGGCTGCACTCTCGCCACCTAAGAGGCCACGCCCCTGAAGGACTCCCCACTGCCTGGCCGGTGGACCCCCACTTCCCAGTTACCTTAATGAATGCCGAGGCCCGCACTTCCCGCCAAGTGGGGAGACTCAGGGACAATGTCCCTGTGGAGGGAGAATCCCCCTCCGGGGAGGGGGGGGGGGCCCAGCCAGCAGTTTTGAGTTCTCGCTTCTGTTTCTCAGAGTCATTCAGTTTCTTTCCTGGTTGTCGCGTTGTCGGGGGCTGCTTTGCGCGGGCCACCAGAAGTCTTTTCCTCACTGAAATTCCTGCTCTGATCTGCCGGGTCAGTGGGACCACACAGGCAGCCTCCTACAACGGGGTGGTCCAGCCTGGCTGGGGCAGACCTGATGAAGTTCAGGTGCATGGACCTGGGGTGGGCGCCCCAGGCAGCGCAGACACCGCGCCACCTCCCTCCGGGTTTGGGGCTGGGCCCTCATGAGATGAGGCTCCAGAACCAGCCAGAACCAGCTTCAGCTTTAAAGTCTCCCCCTCCCTACACCTCACGCGGAGAAGCCAGCCCAGCCTGGTTCTTGTCTGTCCCCTGCCTGTCGGGTTCCACCTGACCTTGCACTTGACATTGTCCATGGGCCTGCTGGGCACTTGGCCCACGCTGGGCACCTCCACGCCCACAGTCTCAGGGACCCTCGGAGTCCTTACCCATCTGTCTTCACGCCGTCACCGCCCAGGTATCCCTGGCAGCTCCATGACAGCTCAGAGCCACGCAGACCCCACTGGGACCTGCACAGCCTCCCAGGGGCCATAAGCTCCCTGGGAAGCCGCCCCAACCCCGGAAATGAAAACAACGGAAATGTTGGTGGACTTACTCTTCTCGATGATGGCCAAGGCTCTGAAACAGAAATGGGAAAAAGCTCAGGGCTCCACTTGCTAACGAACAGGGTGCTCGGGTGGGGGTGAGGGGCGAGGAGGGAAAGGAAGAGCTGGTCGGCTCCCAGAAAGGGGTCCTGTGCACAGTTCATGCAGGACCCTCGGCCTGTGATTCACACAGAAACACACAGGAACTTACTTCAGTCTCTGGTGCTCAGCCATGGCGTCGTCAAAAGCTGTGAGAAGGAAACAGGGAAGGGGAAGCGGGTGTGAGGGCGCCTGCCCCTGTGACCCGCAGGTGCAGGGCTCGGCACCACGGGCCCTCCACCCTTTTCTCTCCCAGTCCATTTTCTCTTGGGGCAATGCCAAGTTGGGTGGGGATGCCCCCCCCCCCCCAAAGACCATGGGGCTGTCACTGGGGACAGACAGGCGGACAGCTCACCTTGCCCCGAGAGGTCGGTTGAGAGCTGCCGGACTTCCTTCCCGGCTGCTATCTCCAGGGTGTACCTGCCCTTGTCTGAGTCTTTGGGATCCAGGATGTGGAGCCAGATCTCATCCAGCATGGTGCCAGCCCTCGCCCGGTCCCCACTCTCCAGGCGCTTCTCTCTGAATGTGGGGCAGAGGAATGGTCAACACGGCGTAGCCCACCCGTGCTGTCTGTCTGCAGGTCTACAGGCTCCCCCGGCCCCGAACACCTCTCCCGGGGTTTTGTTTCCAGATTCCTGAGCTGAAGGTGGTGAGCATCCTTGCGACACTCCATAAGTTGTCGTCTGACCATCCGTGATCACTCCAAGCAATCATCACGTGGGAATAGTTGGGCTATCCGTGGGTCGCGATGAGCGAAATAGCATTGCTCAGACACGGGCAAGCGTAGGCCGTCCTCCTAGTAGCTTCCGGAGGATTCATGACGTAGAGACAGAATAACTCGTAGAGGGAGGCGGTAAACGGAGACACGATCGGACTCTCTTCATTATTCATGTATGCGAGACAAAGAATCCTGCAGCGGACAGCTGACATGCAGACATGAGCTAATATTAAAGCATATCTTGAGTCATAGCACTAGCAGGGTAGAGTAGTGCACAAGTGATTTAAAAGAGACGTAGGAGCATAAGAAACAAGATTAACGGGAATAGAAAGCGTAGAAGAGGGAAGCTAAAATGACGACAGATTGAACAAAACCAAGGATAGCAGCCGTTTCAGTAAGCGGATGAAGAAGTAACGGGGACGCGAGGTATGGAGGATGCAGGTCTTCAGAATGAGGGCAGGCGAGCAGCGAAGACCGCGAAGGCCTAGCTTATAAGGGATGACTGACTAGCGAAAACCCCTATAGTGGCCAGCGGCCACCCCTGTCGTAGGACAGTGCGATTTCAGAGCCTCA